GTTTGGGACGGTGGGGGCGGCGCCGCATTGTTGTCTCCACGTTGTAGCAGATGGGAAGTCTTTTTTGTTTGGTAGGTGCATGTCGGGAGGGAGGTTCTTCACACAGGGGTGACTTCAATGTTCAAACCCACGGCTTAAGGTACGACGGATTCAAAGCCCAATGAACTTTCCAAGTAATGTGGGCTGTCTTGTCATATTTTGTGATGGTCGGCACAATTTATCCGCTATTTTCCTGCACGTTCTCTTATAATTTTTCTTTTTTTCTAGAGTCCAACATTGTCCGCTATAGTTTTTTTATACGTGAAGATGTCAATAAGAAATGAGATTAGATATATTGTGAACAATACTATATGCTTAATTTATGTACCAGTAGAATTCAAAAGGTTGAGAAGGGTTAGCGTAAATATATATTTATAAAAAAAAGGAGATTATTATAAAAGTGTTGAGAATGTTGGTCATCCATGATCATTTCATGTATATTCATGAGCAATCCAAACTTATCTATTAACTGAAATGCATGTATATTCATGAGCAATCCAAACTTATATATGAAATTGAAATATTATTTATTTTTTATTATAAATTTATTTTTAAGTTTGACAAGTTAAATAATTAATAAATATAGTTACATATGGGTGCTTGAAGTCCATTTACAAGTTCTTTAGATCTTTTTATTAGTTAAAGAGATTATTAAATATAGTTACGGATTATTATATATTATGAGAATTATGAATATATATAATTAATTTAATTTTTAATAAAATATCATGTTGTGGTAATTATTAATTTAAATTTTTTATGTAAATTATGTTTTGATATTGAAAAACTAGTTATTTATGATTATGTGAATTGCTGATTTGTTTCTAGGGAGTTGATGGTAGAATAACTTATCCTATAATGTTTTTATTAGATTATGTTGCAAATAAAATATATAAAAATAAAGTTAAGGTGGTATTTGTGATTCATGTGTTGCAAATGCCAATTGCAATATTTTTAGTTGGGTTTATTTTTTAAATATTTTTATATTTATATTATTTTATAAAATAATTTTTTTTAATGTGCTTACCAAAATACTCCGAAAAAACACTAAAAAATTAGAATTTGGTTGGCAACGTTCAGCGAGTAACAGCTGTTGTTTGTATACGTGTGAAAGTGATGCACATTACACGTTGCAACATATGGGTGGCCTAAGAATAAATTACATTCCTAACATATTTTGAAATTTTTTTAGTAAACTAACACACGTAGAAAATATTTCAGCAAAATAAGATACTTTGGCAAATATCACGGAAGAAGATAGGGACATTTTATAATAAAAAAACAGTGGGACGACACATCCATTATCGAGAATGAGAAAATGAGACTAATTATTATGGTCAAGTGGATCCAAGCCCATGAAGCTTTTCAGGTAATAGGGTTGGCAATTTATTTATTTGAAAATGGGTATAGTTTATTGGATAATTTTCTTTTAAAAAAACCCAAAAATTTTAGTATTTTGGTGGGATCTTGGAACTGTGGCCATCCATGATTCACAGCAACTTAGTTCTTGCGTACTTTAGCTTCCTGCTGAATTTAAAAACAGAGTTTTCCTTGTAATGTTCTCTTGAATTAAAATCTGAAATAATAATGCATTCTAAGGATATATTTATCAATCCGGTTGTGTGAACCCTAAATTTTCATCTACAAATTAAGAATAACAACAAACATAAATAGGAAATGCATTCCCAACTCAAATCATACTTCAAGTTTATCAAAAAAGAAAAACGGGTATCTCTTTATTTACGATGTCCAACACCACCAAATACAGTACGTATACTACAATCACATTACTAAAATAACAAGAACCATGTCAAATGAATACCAAAAAAAAAAAAAATCAAACCCAGCAACCACAAATATCATCTCCACCTCGCATACAACCTCTCTATGTATATATATCCCAAGAAAGGAATGATCTTAGCACCCCCAAAAACTGTAAGAATTACTGCAACATAAAAGCAAGGAGAGATAATATCATTGAAGAATAGATGAAAGCCATGGAAACCGGCAACTCAAGCCCAGCTCCAGCGTCCATTGCTGGTGTAGGAGCAATGATCTGTGCCATCATTCCACAACTATGCAACAATGCCACAACCACCATGGCCATCACAATGTGAACAAATGAACCACCAAACTGTGCCATAATCGCTTATCACCGAAATCTAGAGACAAAAATCTACAAGGGGGCTGATGGATTAAGTACTAATGCTGGGGTTAATGCGTGTGATGAGGCAACGGGCATGGATGATGAAACTATGGAATCTACGAGGGTACTTATATAGTTCAGGCCATATGTTCTTTCAATTTTTGAGCATAGTTTGTGATCTCGTAAGTATGAGTATGCCTTTCTGGTTACGGCTTGTGGGGACCGTTAAGGTGAAGGGTTGCCTTTTGGTCCCTAAAAATGTTCCATTCTACCAAAAAATAAATAAAATTCCTAGCTAAGCGACCGTGGCAGGAGGGCATTGGCCACACCACAGGGCGCCTCCTCCTCTGTGCCACAGGTTTAACTTCTTTCTTTTCTTGTTTCTCCCGAGTCTAAAGAGGTGGAAACTCTCTGTCGCCAGCTAAATAGCCGTGGCGTAATAAGAAACGGTGGGGTTTTGATTTGGACCGTGGGTCAATCACCAAACATTTTCTTGGCCCATCTCATACTATAAGACATGGAGCAGGCAAGATATTTACTGTTGGATTTTTGAAAGAATGTTCATAATTATTTTTTAAAATGTTTTTTTCAGAAATATATTAAAATAAACAGGTTTTTATTCTAATAGGAGTAGTGTTTTACAAGAAATTTTGTGCTGGCTTAGATGGTAAACAGTAGTTATATCTGGTTTGAATTGAACAGAGTCAATTCCTCGTAAATGTAGATAGTCTGTGTGCATCGACCAGGTTAGTGTAGTTAGTTCTTGAATCTCAAGATACATTAGGTTAACAAAGTTCAACCTCATGAATGTCTTTCTACTATTATAAAGAAAATTACTCCAATAAAGATTAACTCTCTATTTCCTTTAGGATCTTGGAGTGCAGGCGGTGCAATGATGAGAAGGCACTGTCGGTAAATCTAGGTGAGGGGAGTTGACATGTCAATAAAAAAGAAAGGTGGCATGTCGGCTTTGATTGTGTTCATCATGTGAAAACCAAAATACAGGTAAACGATCATTATAGTAGAAGATCAAGATCAAAAAATGGTTAAAGTTTAAATGGTGTAAATTCTACTGCGTGGTTGTTTTTTACTGTGACATTATTTCTTATAAAAAGATTAATTTTTTTTGACATTATTTCTTATAAAAAGATTAATTTTATTTTTATTTTTTTATATATTTAAATTATTTTAATGTATTGTTGTTAAAACATTCCGATGTGTTTGGATTATTTTAATATATTAATGTAAAAAATAAATTTTAAAAAATAAAAAATATATATTATTTTAATATATTTTTAAATAAAAAAACTTTAAAAATCTAGAAATCTTTGGAGTAGGTTAGGAGATCAAATCATAGCTCATCTCACTTTGTTAATCCATATTTCCTTTTTGGGAGACCTAAATGATTGTCCACTTTCTAAATAAAAATACACGATAAAATCTTATCCTCAATTATTATATTGATGGCAGCTCCATCTCAAATTACACGACGGCGTTTTTCTAGACCGGGTTGTTTTTAAAAATATTCGGAAATCTAAGTGATGGACGGATAAAAATGAGAGAAGGAAATAAAATATTTTATCCAGCCACCCTAAAGCCCTTGGTGCGTCAGAGCAATCATTGAATGATTAATTCAAATCTATTATTTTTTTTAATTTTTAATTCAATATTATGTTTTTGTTTTAGACAAAAAAAAATTAAAAACCTAAGATAATATATTTTTTATTAAAAAAATATTGTCGAGGTTACCTTTCCAAGTGCTTCAAATTAGTCTAAAACATGCCTTAAATTAATGAGTCATGATTTAAAATTCCGGCATATAACCCAAACCTCCAATTATTTACCTATTAAAACAACTTAACCAGCTTAACTAGGATGTGGTGTATGAACTGTTTAATAATTTGTGCTGAAAAAACAGGCCAATTTGCTGCCAAAATTTTCTTCACCGCAAAGCTATTACAAGTAAACATCAGACTGCTGTGCCAGCTATATACCTTGTGAATCCTGGCAACGTGCAAGACCAATCATTGCAAAACAAACATTAACCATGTTCTTCCTTAAAATAGCCTCAGTGCTCCTTATAAATACGCATTCACTACCATTTGAAACCACTCGGACCTGCATAAAGCAAAACGAATCAAGACCCTTTCTTCATCTCCCAGGCAAGTCGAGGCAGCTAGCATCACTCTTGCATTTTGCATTATGGAATTGAAGAAGATCTCCTGCGCTGTCCTCATCGTCGCTGCCTCCATGAGTGCAGCCTTGGCAGCTGATGAGATCTCAGCTCCTGCTCCCTCCCCTACCAGTGGAGCGTCTGCAACCTTGCCTGTTGTTGGATCCTTGATTGGGGCTTCCCTTGTGTCATTCTTTGCCTCTTATTTGCAGTAAGCTCTTCATACAGGAAAGGGAGTGAATAAACAAGTATCTTTGAAGGAGGGGGTGGGGAAAATGGTTGTTTTATGTAACAAAGGCGGTTAAGATTATTCTCTGTTTATATATAATTTGATCAATTTGTTACAGATCTTTTTCCTGCTCCATTTCTGTGTATTAGTTGTGATTGATGCGTTGCATTTTTCTTCTTTTTTAAAAAGAAGGAAAAGAAAAGAAAAGGCACAAAAATAACAGGCCCGCCCCATACTGCAATAAAGCATACAATTTAAGGGACAATATTTAGTTCAAAGGATCATTGAATTCTTTCAATTCAAAGGTCCATCCGCATATATGGACGAGCAGAACACTAATCTATTTGATTGCTTACAAAATGATGCGTTCTTTAGCAGAGACTACGTGCAATGGAAACTTGCTTCAGAGCATCTGCATTAATTTAGGTTTAGCCATTTGATCATTTGGTGCCTTCTGACCCACTTGACAACATAGTTCTCCAAATTGTAAAGATGCTATTTTCTTTTCTCAGGAGTTTATTTCCATCAAAGCCAGCACTAAAACAATCCGTAAAAATGTTTCAAGTAGTACTCTCCAATCAAACAACACTCTGGAAAAACACACTATATGTCAAACACAATTAACTAGGTACATTTTTCTCACAACAATGAATAAATTAGTTGTAATCACCTCAAATATCAGGTCCCTTCATTAAGTTTTTGTTGAGACATGAGGCTTTTTGTCAACCAGATTGCTGTTTCTCTGGATGAGACCATTTCTTCTCCAAATGGCTTTAGCACACCAGCAAGCTCATCGATCTTTTCCTGTTTAAGTAGCCGTGCACATAGCTCTAGCAAAGACTCTAGAGCATCAGCTCTTTGTTGACTTGGATTCTCCCACTCGCTCTTGGCTTCATCGCCTGTCAGTGCAGCAAGTTTACTCAGCAATTGTGCATCAGTCATTGCATGAATATCATCTTTCTCTGTGTCCATGGAGCAATTGTTGTTTTCTGGTTTTGCTTGTATTTCATCTTTACATGGAAGCACATCATTACTTTCAGATGAAAAGTACTCTATATGAGTACTTTCTGTGTATACATCAGGACTTTCTGGTTTCTGTAAGGCCTCTGCATAAGGTTCATTTACAGTTGATGGTGGGCTTTTATCATCAGAGGCGGCATCATGATTGGCACAACTCAGACTAGGCATTTCCAGTTTCCTGGTTTCATCTACTGTATCACCCTTCCACTCTGTTTGAACTTCTTCAGGAAATTGTCCGCTGCAAAATGTTGCTTGATCCTTTGAGGTCACAATTTTGACATCAACCTCTTGCAAATCTTGAAAACGCACAGCACTGGGTTCTTCTTCTTCATGCTGAGAATTAGGTATGCTCTCAGAGGTAGACTCAATTTCAGTGCCATCCTTTTGAGGTGGACCGCTACAATCTGCTTCATGCTGAGAATTTGGGATGCTTTCTGAGGTAGACTCAATTTCTGTGCCATCCTTTTGAGGTGGACTGCTATAATCTGCTTGCTTCTCTCCATTGCAAACACTTGTTTCAGAATCAGTGGAGCTGTCTTTAGGACCATCAGATACTTCCACTGAACAGCTTGCAGGATCAACCGTCTTGTTTTCCAGGCTGTATTCTGTGCTAGACATTGATGTTGGCTTGTCATTCTGAGGTAAATTGCTTCGTTGTGCTTCAGCATTTCTCTCAAATGGATATTCATATTCTGGCTGCTTTGATGCACCAACGTTCTTGTCTCTGTTGTCTTTGCCAACACTGAGTTTGGCAGGCAATGATTTTCTTCTGGTTTTCTCCTTTGAGTTGCTTATGGGATATATTGGAAGAAAAACTGAAGATGCATTGCGGCAACGGAGGAGATGTGGTTGCAAATGTGGATGCCTCAATAATTCTGCAGCCTATTATGTCAAAGCATGAAGATATAAGAATGGATTGTGGTGTTTAAATTAACACAATAAAAACTTGGATCAGTCAAACTTACCGTTGGTCTGTGTTCTGGGTTCTTCCTCAGCATGCTCTTAATAATTTGTTTCCTGTGGCATGGAACTCATCTCTTATATATTGACCAAGAGAATCATCTTATACATTCAGACCACTAAAGTTACAATGATACACGCATGGGTATTCAGGAGAAGAAAGATACAGCATGACTATTATTACGGGTGTTAAGAGTAGATAAATGGAATTTAAGACAAAGTTGGGAAAGAGAGCACTTACAGCGAGGAGGAATACACAATTGGAAGAGGAGAAATGCAGGATCTGTTTATTTTGTTGATAAGTCCAGCCATATCCTGTTCAAGTTACTATTTATTTATCGTACTTTGAAGTTCATACTAAAGTAAATTGCAGGTGCTATGCTGGTAACCAAATTATATTTATGCTACATTCATATCAGAAGATAAGACCTGTACTTACAGGAGCTCTAAATGCTGGTTGATGTGCTGCAATTTCGAACATACAGCATCCTGAAACATCAGATATATCTTATTGCCAGTGCAGAAATAAATTTGATAAATTCAAAAACACGCTTCCAGATTTCTTACCAAGTGACCATATGTCTGATTTGTAGCCATAAGGTATATCTGCTAGGAGCTCGGGACACATGTAATTAGGGGTACCAACTACCTAAGTGACATGCAAAGGCATAGAAAACAGAAAGATGAAAAGAACCATTTCAAGACAAGTAGTTCAAACACCAGCTCTTAGGATTTTGTACTGGGACCCTAAATGGTACCCAAACACTATCTGAGTTGAGAAGAAAAGTTGTAACAGTTTGAAATCAGGGGTGTAATTTCAATTGACAAGTTAAAACAAAGTAAATTAGTAATATACTGGAGATGTAATCAAGTCCATACCGAAGAAGCAAGGTCTTCTGTGTTGAGAAGCTTTGCAAGTCCAAAGTCACCTGTTCATGCCACACAAGATATACTACTCTTAAAAAGAAAGAAGATTTAAAATCCAGACTCGATGAAGAAGAAAATCCTTCTGACTAGTATTTCTTTTGGCTTACATACCAAGGCGAATGTCATTTTCCTTTGTAAGGAATATGTTGGAACACTGGAATTCAGCAAGTCAGTCAGGGAGTTCATGTCAGCAGCAAAACCATTTATAATCTTTCTTTCATCACATGGGTGAGAGTAAGTATACCTTTAGATCTCTGTGAAGGACACGGTTAGAATGCAAGTAGTCCACAGCTAGCAACAATTGAGCCAACCACTTGCAGAGTTTCTGGACAACAAAACAGAAGAACAATGTTGATAACGTGAAGCTAATAATCAATAAACTTGAAGCACTTGAAAAACCTTAACGATTACCTCCTCTGGGAAAAATATTCCTCTGGCCTTCTTTATAATTGCAGCCCTGGTTGGAGGGAAAGAAAAGGAATGAGCTTTTCATTCAGCCATTCATAAAGTATTCTAACACTGTATTTAACTTCTAGCTTTACTCTTGTATTATCTTCTAATGCGAATATTTTACATGTCAATTTTCTAGATCAGGATTTCATTTCTTAAGTGTCTGATCAGAAATATATATTTAAATTCCGTCTTTTATCCCATCCAGGACAATGATACAAGCTTTCACATAAACTTACATGTCTCCTCCTTCACAGTAGCCTGTTACTATGCATACACAGTTTCCCTGCATAGCATAGGGAAAAATAAACATAAGATTTTTTTGTAGGCGCAAAAGTTGGAGGGGGGGGGGAGGGGGGAGGTATTCTGACTCAATGTTAGTCTCAAAGCTCATAATTACCATGACATTATACATAAAAACATTCAGAAATGATGTGTTACCTTGTCTACCCAAGAATCCTTGTACTCCACAATGTAAGGGTTATTTAGCTTCGCAATCAAGTTCATCTGCAGTACATTTCAACCAACATTTAGTATTTTATGCTTTGGCTGAAAAATGAAAGTTGTGATTATAATCATAATCATCATTGAATCTTTTAAAATTTACATGGAGAAAAAGTTTCCACAATTTGACTAGTATTTCCACAACAGCAACTAGTGCAAATGAAAAGCGACAACATTTAAAATTTGTTTACAAGGTTATACAAAAGAATACCAGTACTTCTAACACATTCTGTCATGATTAAGTAGCTTAAAGTAGATATTAAGACAAGTAAACCAGAACACCATGAATATACTAGTTATTTTTCCAGGCTCCTAATGAGTAAAATGAATCAAATGACAACTTTGCAACAAATTTCTTAAGCAATAACTCGAAAAATATCCGAAAGCTAATTCCTTATTAACATTAAATATTCCAAATTCCCTCCTGCAGGGAAAAAAAGAGAGTAAAAAAGTGAAGGTGACCTCCTGATGAGCTGTGCGCTTAAACTTCTCTGTCTGCTTGGCCAACCGAATCTTCTTCAACACATACCTAAGGAAAAGCAAAAAAAAAAAACTAAAAGATCAACTATTTAGATAAAGACAGTGACTGCTAGCAGACAAAGGATCGTGCCGACACAACCACTACCTACCACTGCTAAGCCAAACCCGCAATTTCGATCAAGAAAATTTATGCTTTGAATTGAAAAATCAAATTAACATTACCAATAACAAATACCAAAACTAGTTCATCTTCTTCAATGCCAAGGATCAATTTTTGGATGCTAATATGGAAATGAAAATTTAATAGGATTAATCAAGTGGATTACTCTAGTTATATGCAAAAGATCCATAGAGCTAAGAACAGAAACCCCAGAATAAAATTACAAGAAAACTGAATTTCTTACTTCTTTTTTTCAGTTTTATGAAGAACAAGAAAAGCAGAACCAAAAGGTCCTCTTCCAATCTGCTCAATAATTTCATAGTCTTCCATCTTTGCCTTCACTTCAGCAGCATCTGCCTCCATTAGAACCTTCAGCAAAAACCCAGAAAGCCACACAAGATAAATGAGTCATAGCTCCATAATAAGCCGAATTAAAAGAAAATTCACAAATCCTAACACAAAGAAATCTTGGGGTTTTATGGCTAAATTCTATGTTAATAATTTTACCTCACAAGAGAAGAAAAGGATGCAATCTTTGAAGAGAAAAGGCTAATACTGGCAGCTAGTTGTGGAATAGACAGTGTTAATTAGTTGCTAGATGAGTGGAACTGATGCTGAAAAGATGAGACTAGAGACTATTGAAGCAACCATAGAGAGTGAGTGGATGGGCCTTATAGGTAAAGGAACAGTAAAAAAGTAGAGTAAAGCCACATTCCGTAATTATGAGTTTGCCCAACACAACTTGATTGAAAGACAAAGAGTCCGTTAAGTCGAATGATCAGTACGGTTGAAACTACATTTTGTTTGAAAATGTTTAGATAATTAATATAATTTATTCATCCTATCAAAAACTAAAATCTATATTTTTAAATACTAACTATGAAAAGATTTTAATTGATAATTTTTTCTAATTTAGTTTTTCAAACCTCAGCCACGAAAATTAAAATAAAAAATCAAATCACTAAGCAAGCTCAATCAAAGACTTGATGGCTTATTAAAAGCATAGAAAGAAGGGATTAGAGGGTAAGGTGGAGGGACACGCACAAACACACTCGAGTAATGTGTAGCACATTTATATATATATATACTTTTATCTATCTACCAAATAGAAAATGAAAGAGGGAATAATAACAACAAGGGCATCGGTGACAGGCATGGTAGACCAAAGAAAAAGGCGAAGGCTTTGCTTGCATTTTCAGGTTCATGAAAGATCACTCGTGCCTCAGGGGAATGTTTCCCAGCATGCAGTTGTGAAGTCACCATCCTTGAATCTTAATTTTAGTACAAAAATGTCTTGTATAATCTGAAATTAGTTTTGGTTTTGGAGATTATCTGTGTGCACCTACTAGAAAATTGCATAATTATTGTGTTGTTGTTCATGTGGGTTTTTGGCTTTAAGGGCACATGATGAATATCCTAAATTTTTGTTTTTGAACCAATAAAGTACTTTACCATATCCATCTTCGGGTATGTACATGGGGTTTGGAAAAACTTTAGTTGGGACCTCATTTAAGTAAGAAAAATGAATTACAGACTCAAATATTCGATGAAGACCAAGTTTGTGGCCAGATCTTCACCGACTGAGCAGCTGGGTCGGTGGACCAGAGGATGCAATATGTGTGAAGCTTGGATGAAAGTTATTCTGTTGCTTTAGTTTAGGAAAATAATGGACCCCAAACTTTAATATCCAACAGGAAGAATGACCTAAGCTTTTGTGTCGAGCAACGAGGTATGGTGTCAATATAGCGTGAATGGTGATCTTGCTGCTAAAAATGTAAAGAAAAAGAAATTGTCGAATTGCTCCTCGTGCAAAGAATCAGCTAAGACATCGCTTCTATCTGCAGAAAACAAGATCTGAATCAGCATATGCGTGATGAAGTTCGACAGCTACAAAGGGTAACAAATGTCTGCTGGGCTCCGTGATTATCCCCAACTCCACAAATGAAGTAAAATTTCAAGAGAGGTCCATACAAGTCCCAGTTAGATAGGGTCTTCTTTATTTTTCAAGCTTAGCACTTTTCCTAGCAGTAGCCCATACGCAATACATGGTTCAAGTTTGTCTCGTTATTTATCGACAGTTCACACTAACCTGGCCGAATCAGGAAAAGAAGCTGCAGCTGAAAAATCAATGATTGTTTGGTATGAAATCGAGATAAATTGCTTTCCATTCAATCCAGCCAATACTACATTGCTAGCATATATTTTATTGCCAATTAGATCAATTTTTTTTAATATAAAAAATATTAAAAATTAGGGACATGTTTAAAAAATTAAGAGAAATTCACTACCGTATTATAGACCCAAATGATGTAATAAGCTTGTTTCATTCAATTTTATGATAAAATAAAGATATTGATAACAAATTGATTGAATTAAAAAAAAATTATCATGATGACATTTACAGAAAAAATACTTGTTGAAAAGAAAAAACATTATAATGCTTCAATGTTTATCACATTCAATGTTAAAATTTAAAATAAAAAAATAACAATCAAGATCAACATGAGTTAATATATTGAATTTGTGTCATGAGTTGTGAGGAAAAGAGAGCCCTGTAAATAGAAAATAAAAAAATAATATTTAATTTTTAACAAACTCAATGTAAAATGATTAAATCAAAATAAATTAATTAATAAAAAACAAAAAAAAAACAGCTAAAGCATAGAAAGTCCACGAGACCCCACAACCCGGATTATGCTAACGGAATAGCCTAATAAAAAGCAAAATAGAAAAAACCATAAAACTAAATCATATATTTAATATATTTAACATAATATTAAAAAATAAAATTAAAAAAATTAAAAAAAAATTAAGTCAATTTAGAAAAACTCGTGGCTTATATCACAAAAACAAGATTACCCAAAATTCATAACTTATTAAAAAAATAAAAATAAATTATAAAACTTAATTTTCAATGAGGATAAAATTGAAGAAGAAAATCAAGGTAAAAAAATGACCTAAAAAAAAAACCAATATTAAATTGAGTTAACATTTCAACCTCGCGACTTCAGTTTATAAGAACATAATTATTTTATTAGAAAAAAAATATTAAATTTAATTTTTAATTAATTTAATATTAAAGAATTAAATTAAAAAAATTAAATATAAAACATCATCTAAAATTAAAAATAATAATTATAAAATAAAATGATAAGATAGATTTTAATTTTGACAAATCAACACGAATGCCAAAAAAATAAGAGATGGAAAGGAAGAAAAACATCAAAGCCTCACCATTGCTCCTCTATCAACATACATTATGGAACCCGAAAACTCTTAGAGAGCTGCGTCCGAAGCCACCATGAAAGGTGATATTTCAACAGTAGAGAAAGTTGCACGCATTATCATGTGACTATGGCCTCATTCCACACACACCAGCCATATTGTCCTGCCCATCATTTCCAATTTAAGTATTAAATTTAATATCTCAAAGCTTTAATTATTTTGGATTAATAAAATAAAATTTTATTTTGTAAAATCAAACATCACATCAATCACATGTTGAAATTTTTTATCATTATCATAAAATCCTCATATCTAAGCAATGAAAAAAACAAATAGTCAAGTCTAACAAAAAAAACTCAATATTAAAAAATTAAATTAAAAAAAATAAATCAAATAACAAAAAAATAGATTAATCTCTCCTTTACCCATGCAATGCAATCCTTGATGTTTGCTCTTTTAATACTTGTGGTGTTGAAATTCTACCCCATAGCTATAATTGTTTTAATTCAATTTAATTTTGTTAAATTCAACTAAATCAAGCATCAATCAAGAGTTAATTCTATTTCTTAACATCATATATAACAAATAACAAGCCAAACAAAACAAATAACAAACTCCAATCCCAAAATACAACGGGAAAAAAAAAATTCAAATGACCAAAAACTTTGAATAAAAAAGAAGAGAGAACTTTGTGCAAATCCATAGTGTATCCTGTCACAATGCACATGAAATGTCTCTCTTTTAGTTTTTTTTCTTAATTCTGTTTGGAGCAATCTCCAGCTTCCCGAATAACCACGCCCAGATGCATGGGTTATCCAGCCAAGGCTCAAAGGCCAAGACCGGAGGTGCCTTTGGATTCCTTCAAAAAATACCTTGGAGAAACGAGGACGGCTGAGGTCACGGTTTACATCTTGCATTATCCAAGTTAGCACTGGCTTTATGCAAGTTAAAGACATGCAACGCGGAGTTTAAAAAAAAAAGAAGCCCATGCAAGCCTTTGACTGGATCCAGATTTTACAGCCAAAACCTGAAGTAAGAGATACGGCATCCAAAATGTTATCAAGAAGGGCCCTTAAATGCACACACCGGGCAATCCCATTCATTGAAATAACTAGAACAAAGACATTTGCATCTAGGGCTCACAGTAAGAAACATTTGTACAAAAACAAGTTCTGCTTTAAAACACTATCACAATAAAGTTACTTTTGATTCGACTTCTTGGAGCCCTTACGGCGGCTTTCCATTTTCTTCTGTATTGCTTCAAATTCTTCTTCAGTAGGCTCTGAACTTGCATTTCTCCCGCCATATTTGGACTCCAGGGACGAGAGAAAGGAAGTCACCTGGTTCTTCCTCTTACTCTGGCGCTCAGATATGATTGCAAATAGATCTGCTTCTGGCTCCTTTTTCGACCTGCAAAAGATAAAACACAATATTAAAATATTTATGGGCCGCTTATTGAAATATGAAAAAAAAACATATCCTAGAATACTCACTTCTCCCTCCTTTTTAAAGGGTTAGTGGGCGGTTTTGTTTCAGATATTCGTTTTGCCCATTTCTGGTAGGCTTTGGTTCTCTTCACTTCCCCTACAAAAGTGAAAAAAAAATGTCATGGAAGCTAACAAGCCATGTGGTCTCAGCTTCCCATTTTTAAGCTAAAGATATGGAATCAGATTTAATCAAGATATGATAATCTCAAGATGGAACCAACAAGCCATGTGGTCTCAGATTCCCAGTTTTCATGTAAAGGTATAAAAACAGTCACAAAGATTTTAACCCATGGAAATGCATAGATGGAACATTTGCTGACCACCTATCTTACAGCGTTTAGTGTAATCTGTTACCTGCAGATATTGCCTCATCCAGAATGTCCTTGAATCGGTGTGAATCGAGCTTAGGATCAGAGCAAAGCATTGAGCAGAAGAGCCTGAAAACAGGGGGTAAATGTCCAATATCATACTATAAAGTCCGCAAAAAGGAAGTTCAATTGAAACTAGAAAGCCAGGGATAAAAGTCTGAAACTACAGTACCTGCTCATGTTGCCCTGCCACTCCTTATAGAGGTCAATCAAATCCTTTTTCTCTGAATCAGATCCTCTATAATTTGCTTCAAATTCTTCAATATCAGCTTCAGTGACCTGAATTTGAAGCCCGGTGTCAACTCAAGCTATTGGAAAGCCAAAATAATAGTATATGAAAACAGGAAACATGCAGGACCAGATATTATGACCTTTTTGTAAAAAGTTCTGAAAAAATCCTTCAAATTCTGAACAACATCCCCTGCAAGGTCCTGATCAACAAGAAAAGAAGCAATGAGGTTCACAATGCTTGAAAAAAAAAGAGAACATTTCGATTCCCCAAAAAAGTAAATCATTCATTTTTATTTTCAGAGCAATGTAATAAATTAATTTTTGTTCCTTTCACATTAATAAGAAGAAAAAAAAAACTCGGAAGTTTTTTTACAAGCAATGGCAGACTCTTTCTGCCCTCAAAATCAAATCCTATAAAGTATATACAGCAAATTTTGCACCCAGAGTGTGTCCTGTAATCCTAGACTCGTTAATCCTTATAAAAATAACTAAAAACAAAAACAGGAAGCACTTACAGCATCATCAACACAGCCAGTCTGATCATAG